AATAGCGTTGACATCAATGAAGTTATCCATAGGCCGTAAACCACATCACATTCCCGTTGCCTATTATAACGCCGACCCAAACGCCAAACTGTCGCAACTCTTTCTCGATTCCATAGAACCCTATTATCTAAGTCTTCACGAATATGGAGACAATGAGACGGCTGTGAATAGTGTGAGGGATGGCATCAATACATTAGCGCTCATATTTAAGCAAAACTTTTCTCAAACATTTGCACTCCGATTGACAGACCTCTACGACATGACTGACGATGAATTGGACGCGAGTCAAGTGAAGGTCTACGCGGACTTCTCTGATAGTATTGTCGGCAATAATGTCTATAATAGTCTGTTGAGAGCTTTTGAGATATTTCTAAAACATTTGGGTCCCACATATGGTCAAAATCTGTATCGGTACTTTTTCCCGGTCACTATCGAGCCGGCTATTTACGGGTCTACCGACTTAAACTTGAATGTATTTCTAACACCTGGTTTGATGATGGCCCTAGCACATTTACTACCCATGATTGTGTCAGCCATGCAAATCATTACTGATAGGAAGAACTCCAGTATGGAGAGAGTATTGGTGGCTGGCGTTAAACCCATGGAATTCTTTATCTCACATACTATCGAAAATGTTACTCTCATTACAACACAAGTGCTTTTTTCGATGGCGATTGCGTTTATTGCCTTAAATATGGAGCAATTGGGCAGTTATGTTGAGGTTTACCTCTTTTTCCTATTACAAGGCCTACAAGGGATGGCTATCGGCTTATTAGTAGCACTTCTTCTCTCTGATGAAGTTTCTGTCGGGGTAAATATGTACACTTTTTATTTATTACATTGATCATTTTATTTTTTATAATTTAAAAGATTAAATATTTTGATATTTTACTTATCATTTATAATTTAGTATTACATGGAATATTATATGTCTATTTAAATAGGGGTTTTAAAAATTAATAATTATAAATATTATTAGATAAATATCTTTTATATAATATATTTTATTTAATGCATAAAATCCATTCATACTTAAAGAATAATAACTTATATTTATCATGTTGATGTCTAGAGCTGTACGTAAAGCTTTACATTTCCATACTCATAATTAGATTTCATTTATGGCATAATATGTAAATTACATTATAAAATTGACACTAGGCTTACTCTCAAAAGACAACTACTGTAGGTCTTGAGTAACATAATTTCAGGTTTTATACAATTATTATCAATATTTTATACATTATACAATATATATCAATATTTTAATAACTGTAATACATTAATTTATTATTTCTAATTGATGTAAATTAAAATTAATATTAATATTTAATAAATGTAATTATACAGATTGGGTTGACTGGTCTAATGCTGCCCATATGGATAGTGTCTGGTGTGATTTGGCCCATACAGTCAATTCCCTATTATTTCCGGTATCTCTCAGACTTAAGTCCAATTACTCAACCACTGGAGGCTTTGCGGGCAGTTATGTTGAGGGGCTGGACGTATGAGAACCCTCTTGTTCTCAATGGATATATTATCACAACTTTATATACCGTTTGCATCAGTGGTCTAAATATGATTTTATTTCAATTTTATTCCGACAAAGCGCTCTCTTTACATTTGTATTAATCTAAATTTTATCAAGTATTTAAATTCTACCACTTAATAACCATGACTTCAGAATTCAAATCATTTTATTTTCATGATAAATTTAATTGTTGACAAAAAGTACAATTATTAACATTCAATTAATGTTATCAATTTAAAAAAAGAATACAAGTATATTATTTATTAATGAAACCAAATAATTTTAAAATGATGATGTTTTAAATTGGAAAAAAACATTTTCATTGCCCACGCATTGGTTTTTCTCAATCAAGAGATAAATTACAGTAAAACAAAGTCAATAATTTTTTTTATTGTTTTCTTATTTGGAAATTTTTAATGAAAACATATTTGTCGCAAATATTGAAATTATGTTTAACGTATAATTGCCAATAATTATATTAATAAAACAATTTTATATTTATTTATAAAATACCTGTTTCCTTAATAAAAAATATTGTAATTTTAAATAAAAGTAAACATTTTAATTTATTACCTTAACATTTAAGATCTTCAGATTCATTTCATATATCTTAAGGTCATCATAAATGTAATATTTTTAACTAAATATATAGTAATATAATTAAATATATAGTAATATAATTAATTATAGATATAAAGACATTAAATGCAAATAACAAAATAATACTAACTAATACTAAATAATACTAAATAATACTAAATAATACTAAATAATACTAAATAATACTAAATAATACTAAATAATACAACATAATACAACATAATACAAAATAATATTAAATATTCTTTGAAGGCTGGTTGGGTCACCAATTGATAACATTTGTATGTGAATGATTGACATATCAAATAGTGGCCCGACCAGCACAGCCACCAATATATAAAGCTCTACTTTTTTAATTATAAGCATAATATACTCAATATGTCTGGCCTTCAATTGATTCAAACAGTTATTTGTTGCAACATTTAAATATTCATTTCAAATGCAAATAATTTAATTTTTCAAAATTGATTTTAACATTCAATATCTAAATAAAAATAATAATATAAAATAAGGTTTTATAATATTATTAATAGTTGTTATATAATTTAAATGAAATGACAAGTGGTTTGTTATTATGCCCTTTTGGTGCTTAAAAGCACATCAGGAACTAATTTGAATTAGAATTTATGATATACTGTACTATACTGTCATACAAATAAATTTACATAAGTAACCAAAATCAAAAATAAATCATGTCTAATTATTTTAGACCATTATCATCATTTATTATTTTTATTATAAATCAAATCTTGTTATAATTGAGAAAATACTTTTGCTTTAAGTAACATTATTATATAATACATGTAAATAAATTAATAATGAAAATTCAAATTCAAAATGAAATATCAAACATGAATTTTAATAAACATTACAGTATTTTAATCCGTTACTGGACTTTCATTTTTGATATGTTAATAATAATAATTAACATAATTTATCTTTGATTTTTGATTCTTATTTTTATGTTTTGTATCAAATTTACAATTTGTAATAACAATTAGAAACAAAAATAGAATAAATTTAGCGCTTAAAGTTATGATGATCAATCTATTTATATGATACCAAAATTGATTTGTCTCAATACCAAAGTGATAGAGAACAGTAGACAATTGCCCATGCTGGCATCTGTCAAACCCATACAATATTATAAGAATGCATTCAAACGCTAACTTTATAAACGAATACTGGCTTAACATTTGTAGGGAATAATGCAATTCATTTGAGAGTATAAAACAATTTCCCAAAATTGCATTCAAAGTGAGAATTGCAATCGAGAGGACGACCGCCAACTTAATGTCTGTTGAAAATATAATGGCAGACATTTGGGCCATACTTTGACAGCAGATTATCACTAATAAAAAGATTATAAAATATGTTAAATATATGGCAAATGAAGAGTAAAAATTAATTATCAAGCAGTAGATGGACAGAGTTATGACGATCGGTGACAAATCACAAATGGTCTTGGACAACATAAACGATCCCGTGCTATACCAACCTACATTTAAACAATCAGTAAATACACACTCAAGTTCAATTACAAAAATACAATGCATTCAAACTAAATACAAAATAAATGATGGTGACATACCATTGATGTGTTCGTTTCTAAATATATTATATTCGGTTCCAAATGAAACCGATATAATAACCATAACAATACACGGAATCACATACAGAATACAGGCGTTGTATTTGATGTTTTCTTTAAGTAAAGACTCATTTGACAAATCATTATATGTTTGATTACAAGCGCTCCCAAAATCAATGTCTATACAGCCGTCGGGTATTATCATCAATGGGTTAAACTTTGTCCGAAACATCGCTCCCATGTATATGAAGGCAAATATCTGTAATATAAATACAATGCAATTGCATCTATAATTGTAGAACATTGTCCTCTTTAGTAGACAGTAAAAGTCAACAAAACTAAATCTCTTTGATATGTTATGTNCGTCGGGTATTATCATCAATGGGTTAAACTTTGTCCGAAACATCGCTCCCATGTATATGAAGGCAAATATCTGTAATATAAATACAATGCAATTGCATCTATAATTGTAGAACATTGTCCTCTTTAGTAGACAGTAAAAGTCAACAAAACTAAATCTCTTTGATATGTTATGTCTATCATTTTGTAATCGCATGTCTTTATTCACAATTTTTTCATTTAAATTGGAATAAGTTTTTTCGTATAAATTTATAAAATTTATATCATCTTTATTTTCTGAACAGATTTTTAGCAATTCTTCGACTGGGGTTTCGTTTTCACCTAATTTTATATAACATTCATTGAGATGTTGTCTCAAGTGTTGGGGAACTCCTGAATACAAACAAACACCTCCTTTGGCCAACACATAGATGTTGTCAAACATATTAAACAAATCATTGTTTGGTTGATGTATGGATGCAATGATTGTCATCTCATGTCTTCGGGACAACGCTTTTAAACAGTTTATT